CATTCCCGATCTGTAGGACTCTGTTACGAACGTATACGACTGCGTTCAGAGAATGATAAGACATTCCAGATCATTGAGGATAGTAATCCGACATTTTCACTTTTCGTGTCGTAGCGCTGTCTGATCTCAAACGGGAGCCATAATCGGCACTGTGTGAACGCCGCATTAGGGCAGAAACTAGTAATCCTTTACATGCCGTGTTTAAATACTTAGCTTTTCTGGAAAGAAATTTCAATCTATTGTTAATCTTTTTTACAACCTTAATTCCCGTTATCTCACCACTCATGGTGTCTTCCAAGTCTATTCCTAGATACTTAACTGTATTTTTATGTGCAATTGCCACCCCATTACATCTGATGTCCAGTTTTGGATTATCCCTGAGTTTGTGTTTAGTTCCAAAAATAATACTTTCAGTTTTTCCAAGATGCAAGGATAAATTATTATCGTTGAGCCATTTATTAATGGAATGCAATTCTCTACTTAATTCTTCCTGTATAGCCTGTACCTCTGTCCCTGTAACTACTAAGGCCGAATCGTCAGCATATAATAAAAGCTTGACGTTAACTGCCTTTGCCATGTCATTAACATAAATCAGAAATATCAGAGGACCCAAAATCGAGCCTTGTGGTACTCCACATGCAATAGGGTCCTTATTAGAGAAGGTATACCTCCTACATCAGTTATTTGGCTTCTACCAGAGAGATAAGCACCGAACCATTTATGGTCAACAGTATCAAAAGCTTTTTGAAGATCTAATAAAACCATACCAGTTAGATTTCCTTTGTCCGATTCATTACGAATAATATCAGTTAGATGGATATTAAACTTGTGTCAGTTGAAAATTTTGATCTAAACCAGATTGGAACTCGTACAGTAAGGAATTTTCTATTAAATATTTCTCTATTTGGTTATACTATAGGCTATTCGCTCCAAAACTTTGGACATGACACTTAAAATTGACACAGGCCTATAGTTTCCGGGTTCTGTTTTGCTATTCTTTTTATGTATCGGAATGACCCTTGCTGCCTTCATGTCATCAGGGATTTTTCCTTGGATGAATGACATGTTGATTACATGTGTAATTGAGCTGAGCAAATAACGTTTGATCCATCTTTTATAAATTTTGCAGGAATATTATCTAACCCAATAGCCTTACCCGTATTAATGTTTTTCAGCACCCGTAGTACCTCTTCCTCTCCCACCGTTGTAAAAGTAAATGAATTTTCTACTACGCCTTTGTCCCTATAATAATTTTGAAGACTAATCTCATCATACGTCCTTTACTTGTGAAATACTTATTAAAATTATTTGCAACAATTGCTTTGTCAAAACATATTTTCTCCAATTTTTAGCCCCACCCCGCCCAAGTTACAGGTTCCCTTATTTTTCATCCCCATACTCTTTAAAGTCTGCCATAATTTTTTAGGGTCATTTTTGTGGTCCTCAACCTTTTCCGAATAGTAATTAGCCTTTGCTTTCTTAATTTTATTTTGAACTTTGTTTCTAAGCATTTTAAAATTCTTGTATGTAATTTCATCTTTACTCCTTGTATAAAGCAGTAATTTTCTATCGCGTTCCAGAATAAGCTCCCTAATCTCGCTATCAAACCATGGCTCAGTTCTTTGTTTTATTCTAACTTGTTTAATAGGGGCGACAGTGTCAATGGCCTCTAGGAGGTATTTTTGAAAAATTTCCCATGCAAGCTCTATAGAATCCGCATTAAAAATTTTACACCATTGCTTCTCTTTTAACTTATCTCTAAATACCTCTGGACTATATGTTTTTAATGATCTAATTCTCCTAGTTTTATGCTTACCTATAACCTGTCTAGAAGTTTTCCTAGTACAGTAAGTTAAAAAATGATCACTCACTCCCTTGGCTATGATGCCCGATTGACTAATTTTGAGTGCATCAGAAACCATTATTAAATCGATGGCGGACTCACTTATATTAGTTACTCTGGTCGGAGTAGTGATTAGTTGTTTGAGATCATATTGGTAGCAGTAATCTTTAAGAGCCTTAAGCATTCTATCACATTTTCCCGTTGATTTTTCTAGAACGTTAACATTGAAATCCCCTAATATAATAATTTCCTGCTCATTGAACCTGTCAGCATTTATACTAATATTTTCCAATAGTTCGAAGAAGTTGCCTTGTTTTGGTGGTCGATAGCATACCCCGGTCAATATTGGTTTCGATCTTGGTAGTAAGATATCAACCCATATAGCTTCTAGCCCCACTTTATCCATATCAGTTCTTCAATATGCACAGGTCTATGGTTATACTTTTTGTGATAATATACGAAACGTTGTAGGCATATGCATACGCTTACGAATTCTGCTGCCCTATTTAAAGATAGTTTTTCCAGATGCCTCAATAATAGCAGGTATATGCAGATTACATATATAAAGTTGATGTACACTTATAGCGTACAAGTAATTAAACACGTTAAAGCTACTATATGTATTCTGGCTGAAAGATACCGGTAGGTATTGGGTATGCAGCTGCAATTTATTAATATATGCCGATATTAATATAGGTGAATAGTAGACTTTGATACAAAGAGGACGGATAGGACATTAACAGAGGTTTAGATGTTTACTTTTCGTCCAATACCTGGTATGGTATTTTCTTTGCGAATGGAGTAAAGATTTTTGTTGCAGGAACGTTCAATTTTATTTCATTTAAAATCGTTGTATTTAAAGATTATGGACTACTAAGCCAATCAAATGTTGGATAGAAGTGATAAGACGGACGGACGGACGGACGGGAGGATTGACTATATTGATTTGATTATATCTTATTATCCGAACCGTTGTGTTTTCGCCATTGATTGTTTTACCGTACCCGCGTACCACTAATATAATCAAGAGCAGATAAAGAAGGGTTATTCCTTCTTTCCTCCTTCCTGGAGGTAAGAAGGAATTGAAGGAAATCAAGGAAGGAAATCAAAGAAGGAATTCTTTCCTGATTCCTTCTTTATCTGCTCTTGATATAATCACTATTTTTTTCATTTCATGGAAGAAAGTAAGCCGTGATATTTGAATTTGTCATTTTTATTTTCGTTTAATAAAATACGTTATTGCATGAGAAAATGCGTTATTAGTAATGTTTAGATTCGCGCTCTTTATACTACCCCAGTAAGGGGTGGTGACCCCGTCACGCGCCGTTAGGCGTGGTCACCGTGACAAGGGGTCAGAACCCCTTTACCGGGGTAGTATAATACAGAGTGCTCTCAATGCTTAGCGATTCCTGGCAAAAGATCAAATAAAAAATAAAAAGTAATATAAAGAATAGAAAGAACAAATAGTGCCTCGTGTGCAGAAAAAGTACACCATCAGAAATAACAGGATGTAATAGATACGCCCCTTGAACGCCCATAGATCAAGTTACGATAACAAAGAGAGTATATAAGAAAAGAGAAAAGCGAAGAGCGTCAGTTCAACAACGGTAGCGGTACCGTATGGGTCAACCGGATAGTGACGAGCCAGCCGCAGTATGAGATTGCCGTCTGGAGGCACGCCGTGGAAGAGGAATTCCAACAATCGCGTGAGAAAAGCTGGGATGAAGTCCCATCAGAGAATGCGGCGATACACTATCACATTGTGTTCGGCGGACGCCTACAAACGCAACTTCGCGACTGAAACAAGTGGAAGACGCTTCGTACACAGTTGAAGATGGTGAGCACCAGCTTCAAAAGCATGCTATTGTACCAGCCTCGGTCAATGGTATGCTATTGCCAGCTGCCGGGAAAGGAACTGCTCTTCGTAACACCGGCGAATGGAAACCTCGCAGACATGATAAACTTCATCACCGCAGACGAAGTCAAAGAGATGAACACGAAGAAATACGCCGAGCGAAAATCCAAAGAGATGATCCGAAGCCGAGGAGAAAGTACGGCGAATATGTATGTACAGGCATTAATAGGAATCATAAACGAACATAACTTCACCGATTCCGAACAAGTGGTAACATTCCTAGGAACACACTATAAATAAAACATAAACAACTAGAGCACTCGGAGAGCACAGACCTCCGCCAAGGCAGCTGAATTCTCTCAATGTGAAATTTTTTATAAATTAATTAATTAATTAAGTGGAAAAATTAATTAATTAATTAATTAATTAAATAATTAATTGGATCCGGATTAGTGCGAGCGTGCAGGTGGGGAGGATGTGGTTGCCCTTAGCCTGTGTTTGTAGTCTACAGCCAGCGCACCTAGCGGAAGTGAACTGAAACGTGCATGGTAACACACACACACACACACAAACCAACACTCAATGGCACGCCGTGAAAACGCAACCGGCAGTTAGATGCGATATGATATGACTACTAGGCACTTTAATTTAATTTAATTTTTTTTTTTTTTAGGGTTAGGGTTAGGGTTTAGGTTAGGTTTAGGGTTTAGGTTAGGTTAGGGTTAGGGTTAGGGTTGTTTTTTTTTTAAGTGCTATAGTCATGATCTAAGTGCCTAGTAGTCATATCATATCGCATCTAACTGCCGGGTGCGGTGAAAACATAACCTTCGCCACGCCCCTGGCGGAGGTAAAGAGATGCTCAGCCCGTACGATATTGCGCTGAAGAACTTATACACGGATACGATGCGGAGAAAGAAGATAATCCAAAACGAGATTGCTCTAACAAACGTCGGCACCAGGACGAAAAGCCTATGGAACCTGGTTGCAGACTGGAGACCACACAAAGGAGAAGAAAGCAAATACCACTCCATAGTCAAACGCGCGTGGCTATTGATTCAGCTCCTAGAAGCTTGGTTCCCCTACCACCAAGGTACTCACACGATCGCGATCTTCCTGGACGACATCAGAAAGTGGTTCGACAGACAGAATGGAA